GCTCCGACGCCGCAGAGCCTTGTCTATGTCCCTGTTCCCCATTCCCTATTCCCTGTTCCAGTTCCCCCCTCCTTAGCAAACATGATTCCAATTTCCCTTCCCCCCACTTCCTGTTTGACCCCATTTTATATAGTAATATTCTCAGCTATACCTTAACCAATCATTTTACTGAAATTTAACTAACCAATCCTAACATATTGTAACATAATTCTCTAACCAATTATATCCCACGACCCTAATTAACCTATACCTGGCAAAATTAATTATAAAGCAGACAGAAACAATTAGAGAACCAGACAGATTAACAATAGAAAAGTGGGGGCCATAAAGATAAAACAATACAAAAATGAGGTTTCACAACCACAGCCATTGATAAGTGATTTCTTGCCAGACAGGATGATATCAAACCAAGTTTTCTTTAACCATCCTCAGATCTGTTTCTTTATCTGGTGGTGCTGGGCACTATCAGGACAGGATCGTCTTCCTAACAGCCCAACACCACCTTATTTCAGTGTAACTGGTTTGGGAGGTGAGGATGCGACTGGTCGCTTCCCAGCTTATCGCTACCCCTGCTGCTTAGCCAAAGGCCTGAGTCTTAAGAACAAGGCCTCAGACTCTCCTAGGGAGAGAAGGCCCAGACACAGGCCGACTGTGATTTTGATTCTTTGTTTTACACCCCTGTAACTAGCTAAGTGATAAAAATACACCTACGTTCTTAAAGTCTAGGCTTTACAGGCAGGCCTGAATATCTATATCCTAACACTCACAAACAGGGAAGACTTGGTAAAGGAAGTAGAAGTGGGTGGCAACCTGGGCAGCAGTGACCATGAGATGGTCGAGTTCAGGATCCTGACAAAAGGAAGAAAGGAGAGCAGCAGAATACAGACCCTGGACTTCAGAAAAGCAGACTTTGACTCCCTCAGGGAACTGATGGGCAGGATCCCCTGGGAGGCAAATGTGAGTGGGAAAGGAGTCCAGAAGAGCTGGCTGTATTTTAAAGAAGCCTTATTGAGAGTGCAGGAACAAGCCATCCCAAAGTGCAGAAAGAATAGCAAATATGGGAGGCGACCAGCTTGGCTTAACAGAGAAATCTTCGGTGAGTTTAAACTCAAAAAGGAAGCTTATAAGAAGTGGAAATTTGGACAGAGGACTGGGAGGAGTATAATAATATTGCTAGAGCATGCAGGGGTGTAATCAGGAAGGCCAAAACACAACTGGAGTTGCAGCTAGCAAGCAATGTGAAGGGTAACACGAAGGGTTTCTACAGGTATGTTAGCAACAAGAAGGTGGTCAGGGAAAGTGTGGGACCCTTACTGAATGGGGGAGGCAACCTAGTGACAGATGATGTGGAGAAAGCTGAAGTACTCAGTGTTTTTTTTTGCTTTGGTCTTCACAGATAAGGTCAGCTCCGAGACTGCTGCACTGGGCAGCACAGTATGGGGAGGAGGTGAGCAGCCCTCTGTGGTGAAAGAACAGGTTAAGGACTATTTAGAAAAACTGGACATGCACAAGTCCATGGGGCCGGATACAATGCATCCAAGGGTGCTGAGGGAGTTGGCTGATGTGATTGCAGAGCCATTGGCCATTATCTTTGAAAACTCGTGGCGAACGGGGGAGGTCCCGGACGATTGGAAAAAGGCAGATATAGTGCCCATCTTTAAAAGAGGGAAGAAGGAGAATCCAGGGAACTACAGACCTGTCAGCCTCACCTCAGTCCCTGGAAAAATCATGGAGCAGGTCCTCAAGGGCGTTTAAATAGCCGCCGGAGCCCTGGGGTAGTGGCGGCGGGGCTCCAGCGGCTATTTAAAGGGCCGGGGTGGTAGAAGCAGCGGGAGCCCCGGACTTTTTAAATAGCCCCCGGAGCCCCGCTGCCGCTACCCCAGGGCTCCAGCAGTGGGGCTCTGGTGGCAATTTAAAGGGCCTGGGGCTCCAGCCCCTGCTGGGAGGCCCAGGCCCTTTAAATTGCCCCCTGGGGAAACCGGGCCACCTCGGTACGGCGCACTGGCTCTTGCCGGTAGGCCGTACGGGGGCGTACTAGCTTACTTTCACCCTCTGGGTAAGGGGGTGGGGCTGCAAGCTCCAGTGGCTGCGTGGCATCCTTACACAGCAGCATGGTAAGGGGGCCGGGCCGGGGCTGGGAGGAGGGGTTGGATAAGGGGCAGGGAGCGGTTGGAGGGGGCAGAGGTTATGGGGGGGCGGTCAGGAGACAGGGAAAGGGGGGATTGGGTAGGCATGGGAGTCCTGGGTGTCTGTCGGGGTGGTGGTGGATGGGGTTGGGGCAGTCAGGGGACAGAGAGTGGGGCAAGTTGGGTAGGGGGTGGGGTCCTGGGGGGCAGTTCGGGTGGGAGGTCTTGGGAGGGAGTGGTCAGGGGACAAGGAGGGAGGGTTGATGGGTTGCAGGCTCTGAGGGGGGCAGGACGTGGGTTGGGGTCGGATGGGTGGGTGGCGGGGGGGAGACAGGCACGTGGGGCTTGTACTCACCACACGGTTCTCTACCAGGTCTTCGGTGGCACTTCAGCGGCGGGTCCTTCACTCGCTCCGGGTGAAGGACCTGCCGCCGAAAACCCAGAGCAAGTAAAGACCCTCCTGCCGCCGAAGTGCCACCAAGGACCCGGTAGGGAACCGGTTCTTAGGATTTGGGGAGCTCATCACTGAGTATTGCATCTATTTTTGCCCCCAGAAAGGGTGTGGACAAATTGGAGAGAGTCCAGCGGAGGGCAACGAAAATGATTAGGGGGCTGGGGCACATGTTTTACAAGGAGAGGCTGAGGGAACTGGGGTTATTTAGTCTGCAGAAGAGAAAAGTGAGGGGGGATTTGATAGCAGCCTTCAACTACCTGAAGGGGTGGGGGGTGTCCAAAGAGGATGGAGCTAGGCTGTTCTCAGTGGTAGCAGATGACAGAACAAGGAGTAATGGTCTCAAGTTGCAGTGGGGGAGGTTTAGGTTGGATATTAGGAAACACTATTTCACTAGGAGGGTGGTGAAGCACTGGAATGGGTTACCTAGGGAGGTGGTGGAATCTTCATCCTTAGAGGTTTTTAAGGCCCGGCTTGACAAAGCCCTGGCTGGGTTGATTTAGTTGGTGTTGGTTCTGCTTTGAGCAGGGGGTTGGACTAGATGACCTTGTGAGGTCTCTTCCAATCCTAATCTCCTATGAAACATTCCTGTTTCCAAACTGCACAGAGCCTTTCCTCTGCCTTGGCAGATGACATGGAATCAAAGCCAGTGATGGAGCAGTCTAGAGAACAACAAGGGAATCCCATAGCACTGCAGTTGGGGGGAAATGTCAGAGGACCCCACTGAAAGGAGTTCTTGCTTTTGCTGGTTGCACCAGCCTTGAATTCTCTGGGAGACTGTAGGCTGGTGAACCTGACCACCAGCCTGGGCCAAATTTTTTTTTTTTTTTTTAAATGGAGATATCCTATCTCCTAGAACTGGAAGAGACCTTAGAAGGTCATTGAGTCCAGCCCCCTGCCTTCACTAGCAGGACCAAGTACTAATTTTGCCCCAGATCCCTAAGTGGCCCCTTCCAGGATTGAACTCACAACCCTGGGTTTAGCAGGCCAATGCTCAAACCACTGAGCTATCCCTCCCCCACAAAAGATCACCCAGGCCTGGTTCCATTTGTAGCCCTTTCCCCAGGGCCCTGTTTATTCACCAACACAAAAGGAAATGCAGAACAAACACAAACAATAGTCCTGTTCTGGGCGGGGCTTGTGGGATGCTCTGGTAGAATCTTAGAAGTGTAGGACTGGAAGGGACCTTGAGAGGTCTTCTAATCAGTCCCCAGTAGCTAAAGAATCTGGCCCTGCCCAACCTGGGGGGGGAGGGAGGGGTGTGTGTGTGTGTGTGTCCACGGAGCCTGTTTGCCCTCTCACAGCCTTCTGCTGCAGCCACAGGAGAGCGTACTCTCAGCCCTCTCTTGGAGCGGGGCCCTTGTTTATATCCTGCAGCTGGGAATCAGACCCAGTCATTAGCTACTGTGCAGCTGGGTCAACTGATTCCCAGCACCTGCCTGCTGGGCTTTCCTCCCTCAAGGGACAGACCTGCCCTGTTCCACCCCCCACCACCTCCCAGAGTGGAGTCGGAGACACGCTTTTTGCCTACTAAGCTCCCACCCCGTGAAAGAAAGTCTTCATTCACATCAGGGCTGTGGAACAATAGTGAAGTGTAAATCTGGCTGCAAAGCCAGGTACCATCATGTCAGCCTTTCTCATAGCATGCAGCCACGTTAGCAGGGCGTGGCCAGCGAGGAGGGTGCAAGGCACTGCAAGCAAATAATGTCTCAGGGCCCCAGTGGCCCGCCCCACCGCCAGGCACTCCTCAGTCACTGCATCGGCTCGTGTCCAAGGCAGCTGCTTTCTGCTCAGGGATAAAATGGGGGGCTCCCCGACCTCCAACTCCTGCAAGAGTCCAGCCCCCTTTCCCTGTTCAGAGGCATCCATCTACAGGATAAACCCTTTATTTACGTCTGGGCTACATGGTACTGAAGTGCTACAGGGAACCTGCCTTATCTCACCAATGAGTCCAAAAAGACAGGAAACAAAGGGAAGGAATAAATGGTCCATTTTCTGAATGGAGAGAAGTAAATAGAGGTGTCCCTGGAGGGGCTTGTATTGGTCTGGGACCAGCGCTCTGCAACATATTCATAAATGATCTACAAAAAGGGTAAACCAGGGGTGGCCATCCTGAGCCTGAGAAGCAGCCAGAATTTACCAATGTACATTGCCAAAGAGCCACAGTAATACGTCAGCAGCCCCCCATCAGCTCCCAGCGCCTCCCACCCACCGGCAGCCCCACCGATCAGCGCCTCCCCCACCCTCCTTGCACCTCGCAATCAGCTGTTTCCCTGGCATGCAGGAGGTTCGGGGGGGGGGTATCGGGGAGGAGTGAGGGCACGGCAGGCTCAGGGGAGAGGGCGGGAAGGGGTGGAGTGGGGTCAGGGTCTGTGGCAGAGCCAGGGGTTGAGCCGTGAGCACCCCCCAGCACATTGGAAAGTTGGCGCCTGTAGCTCCAGCCCCGGAATCTTTGCCTATACAAGGAGCCGCATATTAACTTCTGAAGAGCCGCATGTGACTTCGGAGCCACTGGTTGGGCACCCCTGGGGTAAACAGTGAGGTGGCAAAGTTTGAAGATGATACAAAATTACTCAGGATTGTTAAGTCCAAAACAGATTGCAAAGAGTTACAAAAGGACCTCACAAAATTGGGTGACTTGGCAACAAAATGGCAGATGAAATTCAATGTTATGCAAAGTAATGCACATGGCAAGATATAATCCCAACTATACATACAAAATGATGGTGCCTAAATTAGCTGTAACCCATCAAGAAAGAGATCTTGGGCCTGGTCTACACTATGAGTTTAATTCAAATTTAGCAGCGTTAAATCGAATTAACCCTGCACCTGTCCACACAACGAAGCCATTTATTTCGAAATAAAGGGCTCTTAAAATTGATTTTTGTACTCCTCCCCGACGAGGGGAGTAGCGCCGAAATCGACATTGCCATTTCGAATTAGGGTTAGTGTGGCCGCAATTTGACAGTATTGGCCTCCGGGAGCTATCCCACAGTGCACCATTGTGACCACTCTGGACAGCAATCTGAACTCGGATGCACTGGCCACGTAGACAGGAAAAGCCCCGCGAACTTTTGAATTTCATTTCCTGTTTGCCCAGCGTGGAGAGCACAGGTGACCACAGAGAGCTCATCAGCACAGGTAACCATGCAGGCCGATAATCGAAAAAGAGCACCAGCATGGACCGTACGGGAGGTACTGGATCTGATCGCTATATGGGGAGATGATTCAGTGCTAGCAGAACTATGTTCGAAAAGACGAAATGCCAAAACTTTTGAAAAAATCTCCAAGGGCATGATGGAGAGAGGCCACAATAGGGACTCAGATCAGTGCCGCGTGAAAGTTAAGGAGCTCAGATAAGCCTATCAAAAAACAAAGGAGGCAAATGGTCGCTCCGGGTCAGAGTCGCAGACATGCCGCTTGTACGCTGAGCTGCATGCAGTTCTAGGCGGGGCTGCCACCACTACCCCACCTCTGACAGTGGATTCCGAGGCGGGGGTAATCTCAGCCACACCCGAGGATTCTGCGGATGGGGAAGAGGAGGAGGAGGAGGACGAGCTTGCGGAGAGCACACAGCACTCCATTCTCCCCAACAGCCAGGATCTTTTTCTCAGCCTGAGTGAAGTACCCTCCCAACCCTCCCAAGGCAATATCCAAGACCATGACCCCATGGAAGGGACCTCAGGTGAGTTTACCTTTTAAAATATAAAACATGGTTTAAAAGCAAGCGTTTTTTAATGATTACTTTGCCTGGAGGACTTGGGATGCATTCGCGGCCAGTACAGCTACTGGAAAAGTCTGTTAACTTGTCTGGGGATGGAGCGGAAATCCTCCAGGGACATCTCCATGAAGCTCTCCTGGAGGTACTCCAAAAGCCTTTGCAGAAGGTTTCTGGGCAGTGCAGCCTTATTCCGTCCTCCATGGTAGGACACTTGACCACGCCATGCTAGTAGCAAGTAATCTGATATCATTGCATGACAAAGCCTGGCAGCGTATGGTCCCGGTGTTTGCTGGCATTCAAGCAACATCCGTTCTTTAGCTCGCTGTGTAATCCTCAGGAGAGTGATATCGCTCATGGTTAACCTGGTTGAAATACGGGAATTTAATTAAGGGGACAGAGGTGGCCCTTCCTACTGGGCTATTTGCCTGTGGCTGAAAAGAAATCCTTCCCTGCAGTTAGCCAAGCGCGGGGTGGTGGGGGTGGTGGGGTGGTGAGGAATTGGCGCTGAGCTTTTCGCGTTTGGCTAGCAAGGATCTTCCCTGATACCAGCCACACGGTGGGGGGAGGGGTAAAGCGATCATCCCAGATAATTCATGGTGTGTGGGGGGGTTAGTTTGGTTTCTGCAGGGATCTTCCCTGATACCAGCCACGCGGTGGGGGGAGGGATAAAGCGATCATCCCAGAGAATTGGATGGGGGGGGGGGGTTGGTTTTTGCTTGTGAAGGTTAACAGGAAAATCGCAGCACTCAACGGGCTTTGCTTGGTATGTGGGAAAGGAGGGCGCAGAAGCCGAAAGACAATGGCTTACAAGTCTG